TTATACCGTTACCTAAAAAATCGAACAGTCTCGTGTGTTTATAGAAAGTATTCTACGTATATTAATTGGAACATATATCGCGCGTATTCTACGCCATATGTAGCGTAGGCTAACTGTATATAATCACGCAACGTTTTCCGCGACTTTCCCGCGTCGCGGATAATGTGTACAACAAGACTGATATGTGAAAAGATCACCCCGATCGATATGTAGAGAATAAAAAAGCGCACGAGCTCTCGACCTGCCCCTGTAGCGTGTCGAGTACCTCTTCTCCTTTTGATCCTCGAAGCAATTTTACGCCTGAAACGATCGACAATTCGCCCTTGTCGTCGGAGATTTCGATCACAGAGTATACATATATATATATATATATATATATAATTTTTTTTCACTCGCATGCGAGATGCACAAAGGGAATCAGGGTGAACGATCGACTTGCAGAACGAATTTGCTCCTAGTGCAAAGACCGAAATTGTGAGGTAAGTATGAAGAATTATAATAATAGAACAGTTTAGTAATAGGAAAAAAATATTATATGTATATATAATAAAAACATGTGTGTTTTCTCTCGAATGCGCATTAAATCCATCTCGAACGAGTTTAACTTTTGTTTCTCCTTTCTTCGCTCGATCGTTAAACGCTATAATTATATTCGTCATAATTTAATTAGCTTCTCCTAAGTCTCTCGTTTATATCCCATTAAGGGGATTCTAAACGCCACCCTGTCTTCGATCGATGAAACGTCATTTTTGCGCACTCTTACCTTTTAATTGGTTAAATAAAATAATAAATGCTTTTTATTTTATGTTAGGAACAAAAAAATTTTCTTTTGTTTTCTAACATAAAATCGGTAGGTTCGCGCTTTGTTTCTACATGTATTTTAATGTGAAAAAGTATTCATTATTCTATTCAACCAAACACTTGCACTATTTTTGTTCGTCCTGAATTAATAAATAATTAAAAATTAATAATATATAATATATAATATACAATAATATATATAAAAATAATAAATAATATATTAAAATAATAATAAAAAATAATTAATAAATAAATAATATATAATATGTACATAATAATAAATAATAAATAATATGTAATATAATAATAAAAAATAATTAATAAATAAATAATATATAATACGTACATAATATTAAATAATAAATAATATGTAATATAATAATAAAAAATAATAAATAATACATAAAGGAAAAGGGTGCGCAAAAATAAAGTTTCATCGATAAAATAAAACTGCATTTAGGATCTCTTTAAACCCGATAAATTGTATTCAATCACAGTGTTTATTCTCTCCCCGAAGCAATTTCATTCGAAAGCGATCGATCCCGCCATCGTCGAATACATTTCGTCCACGTGGGAAAGGGACGCGGAAAGTGTCGGACGACTCGAGAAGCCGCGAGGCGATTTCCACGCACGGCCGGACGACGTAGTCCCAACAACGAAGTTATAGCGAAGAGTTGGTTGGGAGCAGCTGGGACAGAAAAAGTAAAGTACAGACACGAGAAGAAATCGCGGTTTTTTCGCGAAAGCGAAATCGGGAGAAGGAGGAGTCGTCGTACCTGCCAACGACCTTCGCCACCCTTAAACGAGCGTTCGGGCGCGACGCGACGCCCTTCTGGAAGATGCACGATCGAAAATGTCGAAAATAGTACGCACAACGTGTGTCTCCGTTACGAGCGAAAAGAAGAAACGTAATATACTAGAATCATATATAAGCTAACTGACAAGGGAAATTGGGCAACCCGGTAAAAATTCTGAACAAAATTCGTGTACAAGTAGAGTAGTTCATTCGTAACGCAAAACTATTTTTTGTTCGTCCTGAATTAATAAATATATAATATATAATAATAATAAATAATATATAATACAATAATAAAAGATAATTAATAAATAAATAATAAAAACACCTGTAAAATAATAAAATTTTGAAAAAATAATTTTTGGAGATTAAACATTTTGAAAGATTATTTTTTCAAAATTTTAAATAGATGGGTCTTTTTACCATAAAACTTTTGTCTAAAACATTTTTTGATATCTTGAATAATTTTCGAGATATGTTCGACAAAAGCGAAAAGCCATTATACTTATGAGGGGTGGTTTCACCCTCTCAGACCGTAATTCAGCACAAACGAAAAATAGTTTTGCGTTATACGTACGGATAAACTTGTACAGAAGATTTGAGAATTTTTTGAATTTCCAGATCGCCCGACTTTCATTGTGAAGAAAAATCCTCGCTGCGCAGCTAGTAGCCTTTATACATTTCCGGAGCGATGAGGAGGAATAAGGACAATCTCTTGAGATAAAAATAATTTGTGTGTCGTAATTAAGGCTATCGCACAGCGTGCGTGACTCAGACCGATGTACAACAATAACACGGCACGCTTCGTCCTTGGCGAATAAATTCTTCGATGGCCAATCTTATGCATCTTCCGGTCGTATTACTCGATTATTCCGCAATATCGCGGGATCGATAAGCGTTCCGTTATATAGTTTATCCAGCGTTTCATGGCAATCGCGTGTCGCATCTTACGTTTACCCCGGATCTCGGGATCCTACTTGACTCATAGTTTTATACCTCGCGACAGCTGATTTATTATTATGCGATTGATTCCCGCGAATTAAGTTGTGGCGCTGCGAGCGTTGATTAGGACAGAATAAGCAGAGATAAGTAGTTTGTTCTTTATTGCTGCATTGATAAACTAGTGTATACTGGTGCAGTAAGTTAGAATGAAACAAAATATATTTGTCTCACTTTAACTCATTGCACTAGTTCAGCAATAAAGCTAATAAGTTTAGCAGTGCAGCAATAAAGAACAAATCCAAGATATGTCACAGCGCGGCATTTATTCTCCGGAATCCCATACAGCACCAAATATTTTTGAAATCTTTTAAAAACAACTCTTAAAATATAAAATAATTCTCGAAAATGTTTAAAATTTTCATGTTTAAAAAATATTTTTGAATATAGATTTAAACTAATATTTCAAAAAAATGTATCAAATATTTAAGAAAATATTATCTAAACAATAAAGAAGAACATTTTCAAAGTTTCTTAAAATATTCGAAAAAATGTTTAATCATTTTAAAATCTTCCTAAAACCATTTGAAAATGTTTTTATGCAAAATTTTTTGGAAACTTATAATATTTTGTGCTGTATGGGATTAGCTCGAAACGAGCTAATTAGACCCGCCACTCGTGGTATGAATAGGTAATCGCTCGGATCGGAGACACGGGCGCGCATCTTCCGACTTTAATTACTCAGGAGTAACATTATCGTAGGCTATCCTCGATTCATCGCGCGGAACACACTAGCGGACAGAGAAGCACAACGGACTTGTGCACGTACGTACGGAGAAACGGTTTGTCTCGAAAACACCGAAGATATGTACACGAAAACGAAATCTTATCTCTCGCCTCGTCTCCCTCGTTCCTATTCCGCAAGAAGTAGACGTTATTGACAAAAATTGATTCGCACAAGACAAACTGTAATCTCTGTAAAAAAAAAAAACTATTTAATTTCGTTCCTATCATATTTTTCTCAGAATTTGATTTTTATTTTTTTAATCTCTCTTTGACAGGCAATTTTTGTCTCCTATTTTCTTTTTAAATAAATAGTGCGAAGAATGGAATTATAGATTACAATTTCATTATTTCCACTAATTTTTAATAAGTCTATTCTTCCTGCAGGTTCCCTCAATAATCGAGCTAATATTCAATTTAAATCCTTTATCCTTGATCGGGAGGCGACGAGCGCTTAAATCCTAGATAATTTATACAAATTGTGTGTAAATTAATAATCAAAGGGGTTACTCGAGGTAAGACGTATGTAAGTATGTAGTAAGCTTAGGTATACGATTATAATATGTTAGACTAAACTTCTTTTTTTTCTTTTGAGGGGAAAGACTAAAGTTAGGCAAGAGATGACGTTTCTGTTTTTTTTTTCTTATTTCTTCAATAATTAAAGTATTCTCTTCTACTGATTCTTGCTCTCAAACATATTCTCTCTTCCTCTTCATTCATTCAATTTATTCCTTCAAGCACACCTCGTTTCTCTTTTATTCTACTTTGTCTCTTGGTTTTTCTCTCTTTCTCTCATTCTCTCGTTTTCTTTCACTCCAACGACGCTGTCATTCTCATCTCGCATTCGCTTCGAACTAGCGATAAATTTGAACTTATGTTAGCAATTAGAACGCTCTCTTGGAAAACACAAGTTTCGCCTTATACTAATAATGGTAATGGTCTCTTTCATCTCCCGTCCTTTTTTTTCCTCCTTTCATCCCTCTAGCCTTTACCCTCTATACTCTTTCGCGTTCTCCTTTGCCCCTTTCCTTCTCCTCCTCGCCTGCAACCTCGTCAACGACGATACTATACAACTAGAATAATAAATATTGCCGCAAAATTATTTGCTACATTCGTCCCAAAGTAGTAGTCAACAAGTCCGACCCTCGGAGTATCGCGGATTTTGGTCTCGACTGACGTACAAATTTTCCTGATAAATTAAAACGATCGAAGCTCAACTTATTGCAACACATTTTTTAACATCTCTTATTTAATATTATTTTAAAAATTATTTTGCTTTCTTTCCCTTATCTCTTTCTCATTACATTTGAAAAATTATATAATAATAATCATATTTATGTATGCAAGTGAATTTTTCTACAAATTCATATATGTCTCGAGATGACGTCTCTCTGAAAAAACTCAAAAGCTTCATTATCAGACAAACATTTTAAATGTTCAATTTCGAATAATTTGTTAAACATTCGAGTTAATCGCCAATAACAATACCCAAAACGATATGTTTCCAAATACCTTTAGAGAACGTTTTCTAGGCGACCTTTTCATTCAATCATACCTTCAAAGTTCGAGTCCAAAATCATCGCCACCTCCGAAGGGTCTAGTGTCACCGGCGATCATCCGATGCCAATCACGCGCGCAAACATATATATTTGTCAGGCGTTGTGTAATAATACCTTTCTCTCTCTCTCTCTCTCTCATTTCTCTGTTCGTGTGTGTTATATATGTATACATTAATATCCGCTCGGTGTCGACGCTCCTCAATCGTCCCAGGTAGGGAAGCTATCCTGAGGGATGAACAGGTTCTTCTTGCCCGTCGTCGTCGACGCAGTTTGGTCGGTGCGATGGCCGCTCTGCTGGTGGCCACCGCCGATATGTTGCTGCTGCTGGTTCGGCGTCCCGCCGAAATTCGTGCTGCCGAACACCGGCTGGCCGAACGCGTCCAACTGCGTGCCCTCGTAGATGCTGCGGTCCGGCGTGTACGGCTTCTGCGCCTGCCGTTGATGGTGATCGGTGACAGTCAGCTCGATATTGGCGGCCGTGCCGACGACGATGTCCTCGACGTTCTCCGACGCGTTGGCTTCCTCCAGACTGCTGTGCTTGATGCCGTAATTGAAGTACATGATAAAACCTGGGGACAGATGGAAGTAATATTCGGAAGAGTAAAATAAAATTTAGAATAACAAATAATCTCTCGAATAAATAAATAAATAAATAAATAAATAAATAAATATATATATATAATAGTATATTGTGTATCAAGTGCGGAAAGTTGACAATTGGGCACGACCACCCCACACGAGTGAACAATTGTCAACTTTCCGCACTTGATACACATACTATTTTGTATTACAAGTGCAGGCAAAGTGGCTTTGTGCGCGTTTTCTATGCGCGAGGTGGCCGATTGCACGCCGCCATCTTGCGGCGGCACGGTGCGGGAATAGCCGTGTTCAAAGTCATTGTCCACGGCTGAAGCCGTGGGCAATGGCTTTAAACGGCTTATTCACTCACCGCGTCGCCGCTAGATGGCGGCGTGGGAAATTGGCCGCTTTCCGCACAGAAAACATGTACACAAAGTGCCACTTTGTCTGCACGTGTAATACAAAATTTTATTAATATATAAATTAATATATAATATATAAAATAATTTTATATTGTACATTAAAAGAGTAATACAATATAAATGTTGTTGTACCTAGAGTCATCCAGACCGTAAATCTAACTAAGGTGAGGATGCTGAGCTTGAAAATGAGATAAATGTTGACGGTAACGGCGATTGCGGGGACGAAAGGTAACCCCGGAGTCATAAACATTACGCTATTTCTAAAACAGAAAATAAATGTCGGGAATTAGTACGTAGTTCGTTAAATTATTTCGCACTCGGTTGAACTTTGTAGTTTGCGAATTATACGAGATTAATAATCCTACCTATTTTGCGGCTTTCTACTGATGGCGAGAAGTATACCGATTATGGCAAAGAAAAAGAGGAATAATAGTATCGTTGAGAACGTCCCCATATTACCTGAAAGAAAAGGGAGAAAGGGACGATATTAAAGAAATAGATTTACGTGAAATTAATCAAGTGTTTAAAAATCTCTCTTTTAAAATCCCTTATTTAATATTTTAAAAATTATTTTAACTTTATTATTCTTCCGATAATGCAAGATAAAATAAAAAAATATATGTGCTTTTTTCCCTTCTCTCTATCTTATTATATTTAAAAAATTATGTAAATCTTCTCCCTTCCTTATTACATTATGAAAATTATATGGAAATTAAAATTGAACCTTTAATCCATTTCATGAATAATTTAAATTAATTGTATGTAGAGAAATAATGTAAATTCTCACCCATCCCAAGGACGATAATAATGTCAAAGATAAGGATCAATAAGTATAAGATCCCAACAAGCTTCATGACATAACGTCCTGATGCTTCTGTGGCAGGACCTCTGTCCACCCACGGGAATATAGCAGGACAAAGATATTGCGCCGCCTACGAAGCGTCATGATTCATTAGTTTCGTAAATTCAGTTTATCTACATTATATAAGGTGTATCTAAAGAAGTGCGATAAATTTTTGATGATTTTTTAAAATTAAGTTTTAATTTTTTTTTTAATTTTAGACAAATTAAAAAAATTAAACTTGGTGGATATTTTCTACTAATAAAAAGGATATTTATTAATATTTAAAAAATATGTTATATAATATTTATATAAGAAATCCCCCTTAATTTTCAACAAAAAATCATTTGCTACAATTTTCGCATCTATTTAGAGACATCCTATATATGGAATAATTGACGAGCAATTTGCATCAATATCTATAGGATAAAATTAAAATCGGGCAAAAAATGGTATTCAAAAAATCGATATAATATATCAGGGTATCTGACATAAAGTGTCACACCAAAAATATATAAGTAGATCTCGTTATTTAAAGACGATTTTTTTCTCGGCAAAAAAAAATTTCGAGGGAGGCCATTATTTTTTGCATGTTCTCAATTTTTGCAATCAAGTATCTTTGCTAAACCTTAAATTAAAATTTTACTAAAGTAAACTCTACTTGAAATTAATTGAAGAATGTGGTTTTGTTAATATTTTATTTCCACAAGGCTTAGTTTGCGAAAAACCCTTTATTTTCAATCGCTATAACTCGATAATTATTGATGCCTTGACATTTTTGCTGAAAAAAAATCGTCTCCAAATAACCTGAGAAATTTGAATATTAACGTCCAGTAATTTTGGCACATCTAATCGTGAAAATGATTTACTTTGACGTTTCGAGTCCGAACTTCCTTTAAACGCGCATCAGAGATTCTGGTTCTGTTAAAGGAAAGAGCTAGCATTCCGTGCACATTCTGTCCGAGTTTTTGTCAGCGAAGCGCTTTATTTCTAATCCAGAGCAATCGCATTTCGATTCTACCTGCAGCCGACGCTGTAGATAATTCAACGGTGGTCCTATGATCGGCGTGTTTCCGGGATACTGATGAGCGCTGCCGCAACTCGAGGCTGCCGCGGCCGCGTGCACGCTGCCGTAGAATTTATTCTCCGTCCTGTCGCTTACGAGGTACTGGTCGTCCTTACCCAGTCCTATCTCGTCTTCCTCGCCGCCGTACGTGTCGTCCGAATCCGGCGACGAGCTATTGCATCTTCTTACTCGTCGCACCTGCAATAACAATGCAAACTCGGACCCGCCCAATTCCTCTACGTCACGTGCTACATACTTCATGCAATTTCATTCGTCAACTCTGCAATATTGAAAGAGAAATTAAACGAAAAAGCTGAATTTCCAGCTTGGAGATTTTAATCATTAAAACGTAATCGAGTCGCTCCGAGAAGAGAAATTTTCCCTAGGTATATGAATATATGAAAAAGGAAAATTTGCAAGAGAAAAGAAGAAAAAATATAGGAGAGACCTCTTAGAAGCGATATTGAGAAAGCATCTGCTCGTCGGAAGTATCTATAATTCGATACGAAAATAAGTATAAATTTGAACTAAAGAAAGAAAAATGTAAAACTGAGGAAATTTCCTTCTTTCTTTCGCCGAGCTGGAATTTCTTTAATTACGGAAGGTTTTTCGCTGCGCAAACACCCGAGCGAGTCTTACCGTGATACGTTGTCCGTTGTTGGCAGCCGTGAGCTCCGACTGGGACGTCTGGACCGAGTTCAACGCGGTCGTAAGCTGATCGGGCCTGAGCTCCTTCCCGTAAGATACTTGACCGTTCCCTTGTGTCTCCTTTGTGGGCGATCGACACGGTGTCCTCAGACTCTGCGGCAGCAACTCGACCAGGTTTGTCGAGTGCGGCTGATACCGCAGTATTAGCACGCAGGTAGACACTAGGGTGTACGCCAGCAGCGTACCTGAAATGTAAACCGCGAGCGGAGATCTAAATGTGCCTTTTCTTTTCAAGAAATACTCTTGAAACTTGAGCTGTCAATCGGAATTAAAATATATTATATTGAATTAAAATATAAATGTATTATATTTGAATTAAAATATATATATTTAATTTATTTTATTCAAAATAGATTTTGAAAAATATTTGGTAAATGATTATAATTCATTTAAAATATATTATATATTTTAAATATGTTTTTTAAATATATTTAAAAAAATATTTGATTCACGATTAATTTTATTTAAAATATATTATAAATTTTAAATGTATTTAAAAAATATTTGACAAGAAAATCTAATACTGCAATTGAAATATTGATAGTAGAGTGTGCGATTTAGAACATATCTATGTATAGAATGTTTTAGAACTTGTAGAATAATTTTAAAAATATTATGGATTACATTTTCTGACACATTAGGGAAATATTAATCTTTGAGCAGGCAGTAACGGAATTTGTCATCGCTAATCGATAATAATTACATTTGTAAACTGAATCGATATCAATTGGATTGACGAGATATCGTATAAGGAATGATTGATCACTCCAGTCTCGCGTATTTCGAAGAAAATTTCACGAGATTAAAAATATTCGCAATTTAGACGTTGAAAAATTATATCTCACCGATCGACATCATTTCCACCAACACCTCCAACTGGATTAGCAGCGCAGCGAAAGCGGCGGCTACACCGGAAGTTAGAGTAGCGATTGCGGGAGTGCCCGTCGCGGGCCAAACATGGCTGAGGCTCCTGCGTAAGTCAAATTTGTGCTCATTAAAATCACTTTTCTCTATTTATAAAATAACAAAGTAGGTAGGTTGGATTTTTATTTGGATGAAATGTTATCCACTTGATATTTCAATACTATGTTTTAATATATATTTCAGATTTGTGCCGCGTTTATCGACTCAGGTTGAACCTTCAACGCATTTTAATAAATTAATGATTTAAATCAGTACCGAAATATAAGGCCATCCTGAGCCATCGCGTAGACTATCCTAGGCATTGGAAACATGCTGCCGAACATGGAGACCGTCAGGCCCGCCAATGCACCGACCGCGACAATGAACTTGCACTTGTAGGCCCCGACTTGACCGAACATCTCCACTAACGCTGAATCCTGATCGACCTGGTCGTACGGAACTGAAAGGCAAAAATGTCCCCGAAAATATGACGACTTTTTGTTTCATAAAACTTGTATAAATCGCGTAAATTTAATTCTATAAATTTTACTTAAGAAGATGCTGACCATGTCTGTTTTACCGACTTTGAGTTCAAGGGCTTTTCTTTTTACTGACTATACACATTAAAAAATCCTTCTCCGCAATTAAAGTACTGATAATAATAAACTGAGAGTACTGTAATTTTGTAAAAAAAAAAAAAAAAAATGTTGAATTATGGCGCTCCAAATAGAGATGACATAAAAGAATAATACAAAAAATAAAAATGAGATTAGAAAGCTATATCAAAAGATTCGTACTTGAATTAATTATGTATATATATTTGCGTGCGGAATCGATGTCAAGGTATAAAACAGCAAAAATTAGTTGCAGGACAGCGCTTCCCATTCATTATTATCAGTACTTTCATTGTGGAGGATTTTTCAATTTGTATATTCAATTAAAAAAAATGAACCTAACTTAACTTAAAGTCGGTAAAACAGAACTACGGCAGCATTCCCTTAACAATCAATGTGTTCTCATAATAACCATTTACAACATATAATAATACATTTGACAATCAGCATTTTAATAAATCCTTTGCAATAATAATTCCATAATAATTTGAACATCTTTTATTGTACATATTAAATATTAATTCTCCGGACGTCCGAGAAATACCATAAAACCGCGACTCAATTAGCGAGTATTGAAAATTAAATACGAGATATTAAGAGCAATCGAAATATTTCTGAAGCATACCAATAATAATTATTATTCACAAATAATAATGCAAAAACGTGCGTTTCTCTCGACAAAAGGCGGCATATTATCGCGTTTGCTAGGCGAATCGTCCAAGCATGCATTTCAATCGAAGCTTATCAACGGTGCTTATTATACAGCGCGCATATATTGTGTCTCGTTCAATAGTCCACTCACCAATCAGTGTCAATACCATGCTGCTGGTAACGTAAGCAACGAGAATTATAATCAATGATGAGACTATGGCGAGCGGGATACTCTTCTTCGGATTCGTCGCTTCCTCACCGGTGGTGGCTATTATGTCAAAGCCTATGAAGGCGTAAAAACACGTCGCCGCGCCGGTGAAAACCTGACAGAGGAAACAAATAACATTTTTCACCGAGTTAAAATATATACAGGGTGTTTTTTTAAATTTTAAAGGCCTGTTCTAGGGATCAGAATGAGAAAAAAAGTTCCTATAAACATGGGTCCAAAAATTAAAATTGTCAAAACCACATAAAATGATTCGAACTATAATTCGAAGAATCAAGATAAAAATAAAGTAAAAAAATTAAATTAAATTTTAAAAAATCTGAAAATAAAACAGATAAAAAACGAACGAAAACTAAACTGTGTAAAATTTATTTAGTACTGAAAATTTGATATAGTATCAATTTGTAAGATTTAAACGGCGCTTATTTCATCAGCTACATAAGTGTCGCATAAAGTAATTAACTGAAAATCGATAAAAGTGTGATGAATTTCTCGACATGATCGGTATCGCGGTTATTATTAGCATTCTCCGCTCAAGATTCACTGCAAATAACTTCTTTCTCGATGTAACATGAAAATATTTACATATTTAAAGTTTCTCGACACGCTTATGAATTTTTGATAAATTCTTCGCTATCAAAAGAGAGAGAGGGAGAAGGCAAATAAAAAAATGAGCTATTACTTAAATATAAAATCGGCGAAAAATCGATCTTCCAAAAGAACATATTTACCTATTTGTGTCTTGGTAGAGAGAATATGGATAAAAGCATTCGTAAATCATTGCTAATGTCACCGCAATGTTGAGAGAAGGTGCATTGAATTATTCAAAAGCGTAAGTAAGAGAGAAAAAGCGAGCAAGGAAAGAGAGAGAAGGATCCAAAGGTTAGTGGCTGAAATTTAAATTTTCGCCAACAGAGCGTGGGATCGAGAGCACGGCAAGATTACGACGAGGTTTTCCAGGGTCACCCGTGAATTTTCGTGGTGAAAAGGTGGGCGTCGCGTAACCGAAGCATACACATTTTCCTACATTTTTCACTGAATCTTCGCCGCCCACGTGGTGCACAAAAGGACAATTAAATCGCGATCAAAGATCCCGGGCTACACAATATATATAGACTAATATAGAGCATTGAAAAGACGCGCTTGAACGATATCTTCAGAAACTGCCTGTGATTTCTCTCTCTCTCTCTCTTGGTCCGGAAATTCCATTAGCCGAGAGAGAAGAAATTGCGGATATGCAAAAGCGCAAAGTATCGTAAAAACGGTACCGCGAACAATGCCAAGTATTTGCTCGAAAAGATATTATTATTATGCATAAGTTTCGCTAAGTTTGCGTGCGGAAAAACAAAGGGAATTATAACGACGTTCCGCAAACTTTCGTTCGCGAAACTCTTGAAAAGCTCTCTCTGCCCTCGCCATTATCTTTAACGAGGAACCTTTGCCGTCTTAAGTTAATTATTGGAGTATGGGAAAAAAATGTTTTCTCGATCCTCATAAGCCGAAAAAATGGCGAGGGTGGAATTGCCGGATTTTTATCGACGAACCGTGGGACGCCTTGAAGGAGGACACGAGAGAGAAAAGGCTTCTAAAATGGATCGTGAATCTTTCAGCGAGAACATCTGACCCTGTTGGCTCTCTTGCACGTGTTATCCCTGTTCATATTACGCAGAATTCCCGCTTTACTGGCTTTAAATATTAAACTACCACAGAAAGTAACGTTTGTTTCATTCATATCCATTTAACTACAATCAGCGTTTGTTGTTATCTAACTAAAATTATATAGGTGATTATCTATAATAGATGAAGTTTTGACGTCATCTTATCTTTATATAGATAATAAGAATATGTATAACAATGTTATTAAAAAAAATATGTATAGCCGCATCTTAGATAAAAAAAAAAATTATCTTTACTAAATTATCTGGAATTATGTTCGGATAATTTGCTTCAGAGTCATAGCATATAAAAATTACTTAAGCAGTAAGCTATAAAAACTTACAAATAAAAGTATGAACATATTTTTATATTTCTTTTATAATTTACATTTTTTTCAACTGCGTTTACGTAAGCGATTTTAAAAATAATATTATCTGGAAATTACCTAGATGAATCGCTATATAATTTTATCTTTTATCTTTTATTTAGATATATTTAAATTCAATATTACTTTTCTCTTATTTAAGATAAATGTACAAACTTTTATCTCATCTTTATCTAAATAATTGTAAAATCATCAAGCACAACACTGATTATAACACATGTAATTAAACAGATATTTTAATGTTTCTATTTATATGTAAATGTAATGTTTATTCTGCTCGATATACTGAAAAAATTGCAATTTTATTTTATTGAAGTAAAAATCTGTGCGTCTTTTAAAGAACTATATAAAGTATATCTTTTCTAGTTTGCGAGCAAGAAGTAAATGTGAAAAGAGAAACAAAATTAAAGGTTTCCTCTCTCACATCGCAAAATTGGTACATCTTTTTCACTTTGTTCTAAACTTCGTTAGCTAGATGTAATCAAGTAAATTAAAAAAATGTTACAACGTCATCCTGTGTTATCAGAGCAACGATCTTATTCGTATCTTCAATAAACTATCTTAAGCTTATGCACAGTTTTAGGAATTACGAAATATTTAGATTAAATTTTTTCAATATATTTAAGAAAATAAATTTTATGCTGCGCAAATATTGTGTATACGTGTGTGTACTTTTTTAAAATAAAATCCTACCCCTTATATCTAATTTGAATCTTCTTCGAAAAAAATTAACGCTCGATAAAATTTTGATAAATGAAAGATTCTTTAGTTTTCAGCAAATGCGGCTATTATTTTATATAAATCGCTAAACATTTATTAGACGGAAGAATGAACAATTTCTGAGAAACTCTACATCCCGCTTGAAAATATCGCGAAATACAGGCGCGGTTGGAAACATAGATTATACCGGAAGGAAAGAGATAAATCTTCAGAGAAGGAAAGAAAGAAAGGAGAGAAGGAAAGATCCAGCATCAGAAAGCTGGCGTATTCTCGCGTATTGCACATTTCGTCTGATTGATTTATTCTCGGGTTTCGACGGAAATTGCATCCGCAAATAGAGTATTCAAAGATCAACAGAATTGCGGCTTGCGAACAAGTAAACCAGCGCATTCTGACCGAGAAGAAAAGAATAAAGTACGTAATTACGCAAATAAACGAGGCTAAACGTCTCTTGTGATAAAAATTTCAATCGACATCTAAAGACGTAAATTAGAAACATTTTTCTCAAATAAATTACAGATGCGCATCTGTATACATTTTACGTTCGATAAATCACAATCTCCAATCTTCAGCATCATGAATGTTCAATAAAACGCGTAGTGTAATTTATTTTAAGAGGATCCTGACCATGTCTATTTTACCGACTTTGAGTTCAAGGGTTTTTTTTTTATTAGCTATACAGATTGAAAAATCCTTCTCCACAATTAAAGTACTGTTAATAATGAACGGGAAGCGCTGTAATTTCGTATAAAAAAACAATAAAAGTTAAAAAATTACAGCTTCTTGCATCACCTCAGAACAATACTTATTTAATACAAAAGTTCTGCAGTTTATTTGTGCACAAACTGTGGCTCTCCCAATAGAGATGACATGAAAGAATTTATTATTATCAGTACTTTCATTGTGGAGAATTTTTCAATTGGTATATTCAATAAAAAGTGAACCTAACCTAACTTAAAATCGATAAAACAGAACTACGGCAGCATTCCTTTAAGCATCTATCTTATTTAAGAAACACCAACGCGCGATTTCGAGCAACCATCGCATTACACGACACGTTTTACGTTATCGACAAATATATTTGCGAGAACGTTTATACTTCCCGAGAAATATATATGTATGTGTGTGTAACGTTCGTTGCATATTTGCCAAGCGTCGCATGTTAAAGGAACAGAAATCTCTTCTTCGCTTGCCACGAATCACCGTCATGCGGACGTGCCCTTAAGGGGATTTCTCTTCTTTTCACATTCTCGCGATACATCTTCCGTACGTATTCTAAAACTTTTACATGCAATATAGTCTGCCGGCGAAATTTTGCCATGATCCAGGGCGGATGTTCAGATTGAGGACGATACGTGATAGGCGACCGAGCGACTTTAATAAACGCGGCGGGACTTTCGAGAGGGAGCGAGGGTTTCTTCGCAAGGAAACCCGAGTTGCCCTCGGCAAGAGACTGTCTATATCTCCGTAAAACCCGGCACGAGGAGATTCTCGAAGGTCTTCTCATTTCCAAACAACACGACGGGGTTGCGAATCCTCGCACTTTTCGGATATCCGCGACTGATCGATGAGCCTCTGTGCTAATATTTGGCGAAGAGTAAACGCGATAGTATATAAAGATCAGATGGTATCACAATTTGTAGGTAATTTAATAATAGTTCTTAATAATTCTTTACTTATTTTTTTACGTGTTCTGTGATAATATAAATTATTACTATTTAAAAAAAGAAATTAACCAGAACGAGACTAGTTATACGAGATTAGCCTTTTTTGCAACTTAATTGAAAATTTCTCAAAATTGTGACGTAATGGAGCAACTTGGAAATCGGATTTATATTCAACACCCGAGAAACTATAAGAAACAATTAGTCTCGTTTTTTTATTTTTTTATTGAACAAGTGTTACAAAATTTTATTTTATTTTAAATATGCAAAGAAAAATTCTAAAATCTACGTATAAATATTGTGCTACTAATTCCGCGAAATTCATAACAGCAATAATCTGTCAAAGTAAGAACTAAAGAGGTGATATATGTATAAATATATATATATATATATATATATATATATATATATATATATCTTGAAAAGAAAAGAAATCTCCCTCGTATCTCGCAAAAAATTGCGTCATTAATTTCGATGACATTTTACATCATCAATGTCGCGTAACACTTACTCGCAGGAGTAAGATAGATTCGTTTCAAGATTAAACGACAGTCAGCCTTATCTACCATGAACGAGATATTCCGCGAATATCTAACATCGTAGATATCGCAATCTGTCAAAGTTACCGCTTTTTTTTGCGCATCTTAAATGGATATAGACACATAGTTACGTCAATCATGCGGCTATTCAAAGATCAACACACGTGTAAAAACAATAATATCGATGGAATAATAAAAGTGAAACGCAATTAAAAATTTACTGAAAAAATAATTTATAAAAATAATCGATAATGAAGTCGCTGTATAAACTGATCAAACATTTGTTCAGAATATCCTAGAGCAAAAAAAAAAAAAAACATTTTATTGATTAAATCTAGAGAAAAAAAATCTGTTGAAATACATTTATATTTTTTCTATAAAAAAAAGGTCGCGTCATAAAAATTTATCGATATCTCAGTAAATAATATAAATTGATCCCCTTGAGATAGAAATCTTGCTTAGTAAAATTATTGAAACAAGTATATCATTTTTTTGCGATATTCCGGAACTGATGGAAACGTTATTAATTACATTTGATTTTTCGACGCATTCATCAATAAAAGTCAAAGAGAATACTTCACTGCTACCCTATAAAACAGATAAATTTACAGCGTCGTTGCCTGTGTTCGGTCACCGTTCATATTAATTCGAGTGTATGTACCATCATGTCATGTAGGAACGATCGTTGACAGGATGCAACGAAAAAAAGCTCAATTTGTACTATGCTGAATAATGGCGCGTTGCGGTTTGTCTGCCACTCGAAGCACACGTAAAAATGGACATGGCGTCAATATCGCAAATACGAATATACACATACAATATAACGTTTGTCATATTACAGCATCGTGCGTCATTGCAGACGACGTCGTTCTGTAACAAATTCTATAACGCCCGCTCGACAATCGATCGATAAAAAAAGTCAGCGTTAAAATCGTCATGTCATAACCCGCCAGGAAGAAAAAATATCAATTATTATGCAGCAAGAGTATTACAATATATTACAATATATAATATATAATATATATGATTATATTATCCAGCAAGATTTTATAATATATAATATATGAATATTATAATATTGTATGAGTACGAAAATATTATAATATTATATATAAATATACTCCATAATAAACAAACTTCGTTAATATTCATATATTTTGCGGCAGTGATAAAGTGTAAAATATCTAAAGTAGGGCAAAATAATTTATCGTTTTTCAATAACACGAAATAATCGCAATAAATTTGAAAGAGATGTATGAATGTAAATTGTACGCAAATTCTAAAGATTCGGAAATATTCGGAGAAATAAAAAAACAGAGCTGCGAGAAACATTTTTAGTTTTTGACGAGAGGAACGATTGTATTACATTTGCAAGAAACCGCAAATGCATCGAAATATTCTTCTGACAATAGACATCTGCTGCGCCAATAACGGAGAACGAGAGCTGTCCGACGCGAAACCTATTGCCAGATCTGTTTTTTACAGGTTGCTTTGGACAGATTTTTAATTTATTTCCCTCGGGATCGCGTACGAATTATTATTCTTGGTGCGGCGAAACGGAGACCCGACCATCCTCGCTGAATGCACGTTTTTCATCGCGCAACATCGCGGTAAATGCATCGTTAATGATTTATGCGTTTACTTCATCTGCACAATTTTTCAACCGTGTCCGCGATACCGAAATTATTTTTTACGCCACAAACAACAAATTTGATCGAACGCAAAAATCGCTCGGACTCTGATATCATATTTCCGGTTAAAAACATCAAAACCTTTTTATCTTTCTCTTTTTAGCAAACAGAAAATATCTTCTGACTATCATATATCTATTTTATTTTCCACATATGTATATAAATAATTATATAAATATTATTATTAACATAAGAGAAAAAAAATTTATTTTAACATGAAAGAGATCACTAAAATTTCGTTGTTATATCGTTTTACATGAAATCGCGTTAACCTGATTCTTCTGCCAGCTGCAAATAGTCCGGCAGATAACCATCTTACATTCCCGCAAACTCGAACGGATTCGGAAATTCTAGTGTATGTGCAAACTCTCTCTCTCTCTCTCTCATTTTTCTTTCCGGTCCTATTTCCCGTTCTCTATATCTCCCCGATAGTTATTCGAACAGCGTCCGATATCCTAGGATTATCTTTCGCTATCGATTGCCGAAGTCGGTTGTTGTTGCTACACCGCGTCATCTCGTCATATTATGTCGCGCACCAGTTTCTATGTCACATACACACACATTCACAGATATGTATTCTCTCCTTTTTTGCGATTATTGTCGTTTTTTGGTACATCTGTAGGATGAGCTCGGTGCAACAAGTTTGTCATTATTTCGCGTAGTCGTAAATTTCGCGAGAGCGGAAAATTTCCAAGAGCAGCTTCTTCGCACAAGTTTGAATAAAATTAAATGTAATATGGTATCCTATAATTCTTCCTTATTATTCATCTCTTAATATTCTTTAATTTCTTGTATATTTTAGCTCTGTTTATCGTGAACATGTATGAAAGCACATTCAGTCTTGAAGAATCTTATTCAATTTCTTAATTATAAACATCAAAATATATCACGGTATAAGTCTATCCGACAGCTGGCACAAGTGCGAATAGTCAGATCTATGAAAGCAGCTGGAAAAGACGTGCCCGAGAGGGCTTCAGACGAGAGAGCTTTTTCATCCTGTCTCCAGAAGCCCTTCTCTCTCGTTGCTTTTTTTTCTTCTGTCATCCGCGTTGAGAACCGTGTGATAAAGCCTGCTGACGTTAATACCGCGAATCGCCATTGTTTAACGATCCTTTATACTTTTTGTATTATTTTTATGGAATTTGTAAAGCGAAGCATGTATCTCGTCACGAAGTAAAACTCGCAAACTTTAGCTTTTGGCTTTCGCAATTAAACTTCGAATCGACGTTTCTCGTTCTTTCTCATAATTTTTTCATACTTTACCGATTTATCATCGTTAATTATAATTATATTATATATTATATATATACATATATATATATATATATATATATATTATATCATATATAATATATTATATATTATATATTAGGTATATATTATATATCATATATTATATATATGATATCATATAATATATCATATAATATATCATATATATATTATATATTATATATTATATATATGATATATAATATGATATATATATATATATATATATATGTATATATATATATATATATATATATATATATATATATATATATATATCATATATTATATATTATACAATATATATATCATATATATATATTATATATTATATATTATATATATATCATATATGATATATTATATGATATATTATATGATATATCATATATGATATATGATATATTATATAATATATTATATATTATATATTATCGTTAATTTTAATTATTTTTAACTTTTTTCAAAAATTCCACGTCAAAAGCTACGGTTTTCCTATGTTCTACCATATCTTTTTCTATCACTTACCCCGCTCCAGCCGTAGGGAAGAAAACCGCTGTGCTCGGACCAATTGCTGGAATCCACATAAAACAAGCCCGCCGCCATGACGAAGACCCAGACGGAAAGATTGATGGCATTCAACACGTTATTGAACACCAAAGACTTCTTCACGCCCGCCGCCATTAGCAGCATCATAAGTATCGTGATGACGAACGCGATAAAATCCGGCGGCCGTCCTAGAACAATGTGAAACTTCAGCAAGATTTATTAAATATTAGATACAAAATGATAGATATGATAATTCGGGAGAACGCGATGGCGCAAAAGCAGAATGTCGGGAAAAGAAACGCTCTTGTGATTTTAAAAATGCAAAAAATACCTTCCATATATACTTCATTGAATTTAATTTCATCGAGTTGAATACCTTTTAATTCCATTTTATCGCTGTTTAACTATTGGTTTATCTCAACTTTTTTAACAAGCCATTTAACATTATTATGCGAATCCGGAATAAAAAATATTGACTAATGTGGACGAGTAATAACAATTTTGTATATATATATAATATTGTATGTTGCAATTTTTCTCGCATATTTTTAATATTTTGTACCAACATGCTGTTCAATCATCCATTTGATAAAATTGACAGTATTAAATTAATGAATCCTTAATTTTTTAATAGAGAAATTTTTTTCATATTTGTCAGAGAAAGCACGTGACAGTTTCAAATAAAACAATCTCATCTCATACGTCATTCCGCAATATGTTCAACAAGCAAAAACCTTTATTCTTACTGTATTCTCGTCCAAAAAAACCCTGGTAAAAAAGATACCTAAACTCTCTTACTCAAATTACTCGAATCTCCTCCCCTAAGGCTTCGCTCGACGAGGATGACGTTTCTGTGATAGACGAACAAGGCCAACACGGAAATTCCCTGACAAGTAGAAAACGCTGTAACTCATGCGACTGGAGGTCGGATCGCGCAAAAAGAAATAGTGTTTTTTTCCGAGCCCGTACAAACCCGTTATTTCATTCAAACGTTAGAGACAAAGTATTTAACTCTTCTAAAAAAAAAAAAAAAGGAAGAAAGAATAAAACAGCGAATTAAAAGAAATTGATAGAAGTTTTATCTGCGAGACCATGAATTTGAAATTTTCTCAGAATCAACTTACAGAATAAATGTCTGCCAACTTCCATCAGTCTACCTATCTTTTGCAAAGAAAGTAAACAATGTTGTCGAGCGTGTTTCCGGTATAGCATAAGAGAGAGAGAAAGAGATACTTGAATTGCGGCAGAAGAGATAACGTTACATCGTGCAATGAATAAAGATTGCATTATTATTTAAAATAGCGTAGAAAACAATTTGCCAGTCATTTTCTTGAGATAAACTTGAGAGATTGTTGATTAATTTATTATATCGACGGACTGCAGCCCCGGCCTTCCATTCAAATCTCTTTACCGCAAAATAATAATCCATTATCCGCAACCTAATTTTTAATAATCGATCGCGGAGAATCGGATTCTCGACTTCGAGTTACCTGTTTTGTTGTTCAATCACGTCCTTTACAACATCGTTCTATCTAGGCTGTGTAATGCACAAATTGCGCGAAAGAGGCAATTTTCGACGATTCAAAGGGTTTTGATCGCTCAAACGATCCGTTCGATTTATGCGTTTGCATAAATGCGCAGGTTTACGTTCAAATTACAGCTGTCGGAACCGTTGTGCACAATATACAGGGTGTCCCAGAACTAGTAGTAAACTTGTTAATGGCAGATTCCTGGGGTAATTTGGAGATGATTTTTCCTGAACGAAAATATCGAGACATTAGTAATTTTCGAATTATAAGCAATTGAAAATAAGAGATTACTTAGTTAAAAGTTACAACTAACAATAAGTTTTGTGGAAATAAAATATTAATAGAACCACATTCTTTTATTAATTTCATGTAGAATTTAATAGAATTTAATTTAAGGGGATGCTGCCGTTGTTCTGTTATACCGACTTTAAGTTAGGTTAGGTTCACTTTTTATTGAATATACAAATTGGAAAATCCTCCACAATGAAAGTACCGATAATAATAAATTCTTTCATGTCATCTCTATTGGAAGCGCCATATTTTGTGCACAAATAAACTGCAAAACTTTTGTATTAAATAAGTATTGTTATGAGCTGATGCAAGAGTCCTTGAACTCAAAGTCGATAAAACAGACATGGTCAGCATCCTCTTAATTAAGGCTTAATTACGAAGATACATGATGGCAAAAATTGAAAACATGCAAAAAATGATGGTCTACCTCGACTTTTTCGCTAAGGAAAAATTGTCTCCAACTAATCTCAGGAATCTGTCATTAACAGGTATATTATTAATTTTGGAACACCCTGTATTGTCGATCGAAGGATTGATTAAGCAATAAGCACGAGCGGGAACTCGCGAATATATATACGTGTTAAGAATTAATTAATAATCACGTTTGGCACAGTTTGCGACGCAAATATACGTGAAATGTTTAAGAGAGTTGAGAAAGTTATCTTAATTTAACTTATCTTAATCTACCTCAATTCTGTTCAAAATATTTAAATACTAATTATTAAATATTAAATGTAACGTTAAAACGCTATATATAAATACAATAAATAAGAAAGTTTATAGATAAGATTAAGATTGAAATGATATAACTTATACGCGTGAATGGAATGAACTTTGAGTTATATTAAAGTCGAATACCCAGAGGGGGAGAAAACCGACATACCGAGTATCAAGAGATGCTTTACGGAGGATTTCAAGGTTTATGGAAGTTAGGAAAAGCTTTGCGGAGCCGTTCATCAAAGCAAATCGCATCCTTACCATCGTAATGATGCCATTGTGCTTCATGAAACTTCAATCGACGCAAAATGCGCAAATGATATTTAATTCCACGATCATTCTCCTAAATTTTCATTACGGTTTTCTATCCTGAGCCTATAGTAAACGAGATGAAATGAAATAAAAATCGCGAGAAAATGTTAATTGCAATTCGTAATCAATTGATAATAGCTTTAAGATCTATCTCCTTGAAACGGAGTGTACTGCTCATATGTCGATTCTCGATATCAAACAGCTCTGGTTGCAGAGCTGTGGCCTGCATTTAGATGATCGATAACGGACAGTGTTGTGCTTAGATGATTTTAAAATTAACTAGATAAAGATGAAATGGAAATATAAAATAATTAATATTTAATATTTAAATAAAATAATTTAATTTAAATATTAAATAAATTAATATAAATTAATTAATTAAATATAAAATAAAATCTTAGATAAAAGGAAAGTAATTTATTTGGATTTAAATATATCTAGATAAAAGATAAAATTATATAACGATTCATCTAGATAACTTAGAAATGTAAATTGTAAAAGGAATATAAAAATATATTCTACTACTTAAATATTATTATGTCCTATGACTCTAAACCAAATTATCTGAACATTATTCTAGATAACTTAGTAAAGATAACAGTCTTTATCATCTAAAATGCAGATATAGATAATATTTTTATTATCTGTATAAAGACGAGATAACACTATATAAAATTTTATCTAGATCTAGATGATCATCTATATATAATTATCTGTTCCGTTAACAACAAACATTGATAACTGAACAGATAAGATAGGATCGCGCATCGTCATTTCAACAATAAAACTTATATATAGAGAAAATATACATCGATAGCGGAATCGTCCTTTATAATAAAGACTCAACCACAGTACAAACCATATATTACGAGAAAATATTTTTCCATATATCTCTCCAGTCTCGATACATCTCGATGTTTATTTTTCTCTCTCTCTTTTTCTTATTCGCGAGTTATAATTTACATGAGAAAATGTAAATGTAATTTCTCTCTCCTCCCTCGATATATGTTGAATGTTTTCTGAATTGTCACACAAATATAACATTCCCCAGCGACTGTACGATATGTGAGCGTCATGTTCTCATATAAGCATGACCGCATTGTTGGATAAGTTCAATGATACCGTTATCTACGACAATGCCGTGGTGCATAAGCCGCGCTGAAACTAGAGTCCTGATTAAGTATTCTCCCTAACTGCCAGTTAACGATCGCGAGAACAGCGTCAGTGGAATAATTTTACGAGGCAGTGTCGTGTTCGAGCATGTACCTTATACCGCTGTTCTTCTTGCAAAACCAACGTTATCCAAGGATCTGCACGGATCCTGTTCTCACGAAATTTATTCCGCAAGAGTACTGCAAAAGTACATGTACTGGCGAGATCAAGAAAATGGAAACGAAGCGAATCGCTCATTATGGAAAGCGCATGCATCGATTGCAATCCAATTTTTTCCCCAGAAAGAGAAAAAAAGAGGATATATGCTAAAATATATATTAGGATAATATCCTTTTCTTAGAACGTGTTAGCCCTTTTAGCTTAAAATTTAAGAGAAGTTATTAATTCAACTATGTTCTCGCGTTAATTAAGATCAGCGTTTGCTGTTATCTAGATAAAATTATATAAATGATCGTCTAGATGAAACTTTGGCATTATCTTATTTTTATATACATAATAAAAATATCTTTACTAAATTATCTAGAATAATTTTCAGAAAATATGAATACATATATTTTTATATCCCTTTTATAATTTACATTTTTTTTAATAACTGCGTTTTTATAATATAAGCTTAAAAATTATTATCTAGAAAATTATCTAGATGAATCGCCATATAATTTTATCTTTTATCTAAGATGAATTTACATCTATTTGTATCTGATCTTTACCTAGCTAATTTGAAAATCATCTAAGCACAACACTATGATTAAGATGAAGAAGAAGTTGGAAATTGAAAGGTCTGCGTGATATCGGATTATTCGAGCTAATTATTTCGCTAATCTGAATGAAAGGATTATCTGGATCAAGGGCGGGCTTTCATCTTGAACAACAACGCGTCACGACAAGAAGCGGACGGGAGAGGAACACAGTGTTTGCTGTTATTTAAATAAAATTATATAGATAATCATCTAGATGAAACTTTGGCGTCATCACATCTTTATAGAGGTAATAAAAATATGTATTATCTATAACTGAAAAAGTATTATCTTTAATCATTTTCAGATAATTTTGGTTTAGAACCATAGCACATAAAAATACTTGAATAGTAGAACTTAAGCAGTAAGCGATAAAATATGAATACATATATTTTTATATCCCTTTTATAATTTACGTTTTTTTTTTTA